ATATGTATATTTTTCATTTATTATGTTGTCATATTTAGTTTGTATTTATTTGACACTTTGTATACGCCTATGTTTTCTCGGACATTATATTGCAGCCTTGCGACGAAATTTCAGTCGAGGAAACAAGCGCAAGCATCGTTTGTTTACAAACTTCCGATGACACACGTACACAGACCACACGTCAGTGTAGTGAGTCACCACTACAAACAAATGCGTACACACGGACCTACGCGGCATAGGTCCGTAGGCTGCGCCGATAATGTCATTTCATTTTTAGTACCATCGAAATGATGGCGCTTTCGCGTCGGAGTTCGCCCGTCACTTCAGCATCCTCTTAAGCCCGTCAAATAGTTTCACGCGACAAAAGTCTAAATCTCGCAATGAGACGTAAGAATCGTGAATAGGCCAATTCCGATGCCCGAAAAGTTAATCTCGTACGCTCGAAAGGTAAAAGAGCTAATGCTCACGGAGACTTGGCGCGTCTTTTCACTCACAATTTAAGAAGGCTTCTGGTTTCGCAAAATTGAAATAGTGAGCGATTGTCCTGTGGATCGGCGTGCGAACGCTTTTTTCACGGCGGAGAGAGAGCCGGAAATCTATGATAATTCGTGCAGATCTAAAATTCAAGCGCCGGAGAGGAGAACGCTATCTCCTATAGTTTTGAAATTTTCGGTTTCAATTTTCTTTTCAACGCTCTTCTCATGGCCTTCGTTGTTAGGAAGAAAAATACAAATAATACGATCGGCTCACTCAAGATTGTTTACAGAGGCACGTTTTTCAGCTGTTTTCTCTAAGCGAATGCTCGAAAATCAAACATTATAATATTCTGCATATTAATATGAATTGATTACAATGTGTGAGATAACTACTTAATTAATACAAAAAATGAGAAAAAAAATATAAAAATTAAATGACGCACGCTGTGCGTGGTTCGATCGTTAACAATATATAATATTTATTATTTTATTCTTATTTTATACATTAACGTGACAAATTATATTCTGCAGATGCATAATGTTAAAATATTTTATTAATATAAATATGATATATGTTTTATAAAAGACTGTAAATCTCAGAAAAAAATATCGCGTCGCGCGAAAGCAACACGCCGCTCGCTAGTCGACTTAGTCGCGTGGAGTGAAATTCGGGAAAGCATTTTCGCTGCCAACGCTTGGCAGAAGAAATCGTGCGAGCCTCAAAACCGGTTTGATGCTAGGTTTGGTGGAAAGGAGATACAAAACATAGGTTTGCTCACTTTTACCAGACCGACAGCCGAGCGCACACGGACACATGACGTCAACGGGTCTCGGTTGTGTGCATATGGAACTCTCCGGGGAAAACTGGTAGCTCTGACTGAAATGAGCACTGAGTCAGTGTGGTCAGATTTGAAGCGGAACAGCAGCAGCATGAACGGAGGGGTAACCGCACACATGCGCAAGCTACTGTTGTGCCCTTGGTAATAGGGCACGGTTCGGGATCTGCCAAGGAGTTAGGCCGGGAATCCGGAAATAATCTTTTTAGTTTTTTCGTAATAAAACAATCTTCCACATGTTTATTGATCTCTTGATTCATTACAAATTCCCTTACTAGTAGATAAACTAAGTTCCGTCAGGAATCCTTGCCTTAGTTTTAGTATTACGGAGCCCCAAGTTACTCTTATCCGCTTTTAGCGTAATTGTTATAATTCACGTTCTTCTAGATTTGTGGTCCCAACGGACATACGTCCGTTTCTTGTGACTGATAGTTTTAGACCTGCCGTCGTGATCTCGCGACGGCGATTTTATATACGCGAAACTGCACTTGATTGCAGTTTTAACTCTAACTTGCTGACGAAATTTGATCGTTCGTCAGCATTGTCGCGTAAAAAGTGAATTAGGTTTTAATTTTCGCTGCGCGAAAATTTCATCCGGTGTCTCGCATGAGCCGGAAACTGAATATTAGATATCTTAATCTGATATGTCATAGATATCTTCTTATATTTTATTAATATATATATATTTTATTACTAATAATTGGTTGTGGTTCTTTGGACCCACAACACTACGTATGTATGGCTGCATTCCGTAATGCGCTTATGAACGCAGCCCATGTGAGTAGAAATGTTTAACGTTAGTCGATATTATCAAATATTCGATATTTTTTTTATAGGTTTGTTTGCGTCGCAAGCCCCAACATGCTCTTACTCGCTCTAATACGCTCCAATCTATAGTATACGTTACGTATTTTTCTTACAATTTAAAATATTCATAAAAATATGAATACTTTAAAAATGTCAGTTTTATATCTATAGTATACGTTACGTATACTATAAATTGGAACGTATTGGAGCGATATAAGAGCATGTTGAGGCATACGACGCAAACAAACCTTATGGAGGATTCACACTGCGTCCGATGTCCGACGTACGACGTCCGATATTCAATAATACAGCTTGTTTTCTAGATAATAAAATATCTGTAGCTAGAATTTCTAAAAAACAAACTCTATTATTGGACATCGGACGCAGTGTGAATCCTCCATTATCCGTTATAAAAATATCGAATAACAAATTATGAATAGTACATTGACTATAATATGTTGGGTATTTGATAAAAGAAAACCAGAATTAATAATCACTTTAGTATATTTTATACACTGAGAAGACCTTGGCGAGAGAGCCCATACGACACACTGTGACGCTACTGCTTTAAGAACTAAAAACTATCTATTGGGTTGGCAACTAAGTAATTGCGGATTTCATTGATAGATGGTGTTAGTTGAATTTTTTAATACTTTAACGTTTTCGAAGTGTCAAACTCATATTGTTATTCGACAGCTGGTACTTCCCCACACGGAACAAAAACCTCTAATGGATATCCACTAGATGTCCATCATGGAAATTCGAAACCTCTATTAGATATCTATGTAATCTCCTATAGATGTCTAATAGACATTTATGATGAATTTATATCGTCATTTATCATGGAAATAATATGGATTTTTAATAGAAACCTATCTAATATCCATCGTAGAGATAGATGTAGTATGGAGTTATGGAGATTATATGGACGTCCATTGGATATTATGTTCCGTGTGAGTCAATTGTCATTCAGTAAAAAAATTATATCAATCGAATTGTTGCGCCTACTTCGGTAGCGATAAGCGCTGCGTAAAGATTCGGGATTCGCCGTGCTGGTCAAGGGGGCTTTGGCTCGGAGAGTTTAGAATAATTAAGCACTTCTGAATAGATAGAATAACTTTTATTTGGTATCTTCTTATTACACTTGTCACCTCACTTATTCGGCGACCGTACTACCGTGGTTACGCGTGTACGCGACGTGTCGTGCTTCGTCCGGAACTTTGCTGATAAAAACCCGCGACGCCTTGTGTGCCGCCTTAATTTATACGGATCAGTATTCGGAACACAATGAGACTTGAACTATATCAATCCATTGTGTTACCAAAATGCTGATCTGTTTAACCTGCTTTAGACGCAAGTGACACTCGGGCTTCTAAGAACGAGTGCTCGCGTCAGCGCCTAATTGTTTAATAATTAAATAACTTTTGTCACAGGATTCTCGAGAAGTGGCCTCGATTAATGGCCTTCTAAATGTTTATTATTGTTATTGCCTAATTAACCTATAATTATTACGTTGTGGTCTTTCGACACACAACATCCCTCCCTCGTTAAAAGAAGAAAACGGAGGTACGAAGTTTTCGTTTGTTTAGTGCAGTTGTCTCAGTAGTAACCTGAGTAGTGCATGTTATAATGATTTACAATTTTACGCATTCCGGGGTTGCGAGAGTTCTCGAGGTTCCCTTTTTCTTTTCGCTAGAACAATTACCATTCCTATTAATATGGTTAACACAATAACTACGATGGCTACAGAACTAGTGACCATAGGATAAATAAATATTGGCTTTTTGAATTGCACAACATTACTTTCTTCTAATTCCTTATTAATTTCTTTTATTTCTCTTTCTAAGTCCATGAGTTCCTTAGGGCTCTGGATGATTTTCTTTAATTTTATTGGTCTGATTGCCTCCTCTGGCTTATTTATGACCGTCTCTTTTATTAGAGTTAAATTAAATTTCGGCAAAAAGGCTTGAATGCTAGTTGTTCTCGTCACTCGTAAATATAAAGGAGAGCGCGGTAAATACCGGAGCACGCGGTCAGAAAAATGGTGGATTGCACGGCGACAATAGACGAGGCTGAGAAATGAATAACTCGCTCCTCGTGACAGTCCAGATGTTTATTCCGCACAGTCAAGTACATTCGTATACTCTCGGCACGAGTAAACACACATTAGACGGAACAGAATTACAACGGACACGAAACTGATATCGACACGATACGTGAAAAATACGTCGACTCAGCACGGCGTGCGGAAGAGAAGAGCGCTCTCATTCGGAAGTGTCGCTACGACCTTCCGGATCCATGATGATTTAAAACGGAAATCAAGTGTGATCGCGATTAATAATCGCTCCGAGCCACGCCTCGATCATCAGAGATGGCGCGCGCATATCGATTCGCACGCTCTATATCATATTCGCACGAACATATCATATTCGCACGAACATACCGCTCGCCTCGCTTATTAATAAGCGACATAAACAAGTATACTAAACTAATTATTATTTACATCAGTTTAACTAGATAAGATACTAAATTACATACTTTTCTTAATTACTCTAATCTTAATCTAGAGACATAATATACTCATATTGGTGGGCGTTGATCGCCGCCCGCCGTAAGGTATAATACCAAGAAAACGGAACTACAAATTGTGATCCTCTTCGTCTCGATCAGCGATCGGAAGAAGACACAGTTTGTGTATAGGTCGACGAAAGGTGGAGGTAGCAGTCTTCACTTCGCAAACGCGTATCAACCCATCTTCACCTGGGAAGCATTGAGTTATACGACCTAATTCCCATCGAGAGGGCGGCGCGTTGTCGTTCTTAATGATGACAATGTCACCCATTCTCATATTCGCGCACTGATTGTGCCACTTATTACGCTTTTATAATGAGTTTAGGAAATCCAGTCGCCAAACATGCCAAAATCTGTCGCGCATCTGCTGAATGAGCTGATATCTGGACAATCTCGATTCCGGACGCTCCAAGAGCGAAGCATCAGGCAACGCTAGAAGTGGAGCGCCGGTCAGGAAGTGACCGGATGTCAAATAAGATAGATCGTCGGGTGAATTCGAGAGTCCAGCGATTGGTCGCGAATTCAAGCAGGCCTCCACCTGACACAACAGTGTCTCTAGTTCGGCAATGGTAAGTGTGTGGACGCCAACTATCCGCTTCAAGTGGTGTTTCACCGACTTTACTCCAGCCTCCCAAATGCCGCCAAAGTGCGGAGCTGAGGCTGGAATGAAGTGCCATTCTATGCCTAACGAGGCCATAGACGATTCTACGGCACCATCGCACATACCAGCGTAAAACATACGGTACAATTCCGTTTGCGCGCCACGGAAGTTAGTTCCATTATCGCTTAATACTATCGCAGGAATCCCACGGCGCGAACAAAATCGTCGAAAAGCGGCGATGAATGCAGCGGAAGACAAATCGGTAACGAGTTCTATATGCACCGCACGGGTGATCAAGCATACGAAAAGGGCCATATAGGCTTTACGGGATTGATGACCACGTCCGGCGAAGGCGCGCACTGGCAAAGGTCCGGCATAATCTATCCCGACTTTCATAAACGGACGCGCCACATTAATTCGTATCTCAGGCAAATGAGCCATTTTCTGCTTGCTCAAGTTTGCCCGATGTCGAGAGCAGATGACACACTGACCAATAATCGATCGAACAATTATTTTTGCTCGTAGTATCCAATACTCCTCCCGGAGTAGACGTAATGTCAACGACGTTCCCCCATGTAGAGAGCGCAAGTGTGCATCACGCACTATTATGCGCGTTAGCGGTGTCTGGCTAAGGATTATCGGATGCTTCTGAGCGAATGTCAATGGAGCGTGCATCAATCTGCCTCCCATACGAATAACTCCGTCATCATCAATGAACGGACCTAATGGTAATAACGAACTCGACCGCGGTAATCTTTTCCCGGCTCGCAATAAATTGAGTTCTGTCGTATATAAAGACGATTGCATAGATTTGATCCAAAAGGTCTTGGCCTCCGTCATCAACTGCGTGGTATATAATAGCTTCGTACGGGGAAGCTGTCGTTTTGTCAGCTTCACGAAGCGTAAGATCAGCGCGGTCACCTTGAGTAGTTTGCTCCATTCAGAGTAACGAGTGGATAGTTCCCACTCTGATACGTTGGTGACATGAATAATGACTGACCGAGCCTCAAGATCAGAAGTCGGCAGGCTATCAGAAGCGCCAACAGAGGGCCAAGTTTCGAGCTCACCGGAGAGCCATGAGGGCCCATACCACCATAGTGGACTTTCTATTAATTGAGTCGGAGAGACTCCGTGAGACGCTAGATCCGCAGGATTGTCCTGCGTAGGAACGTGTCGCCAATTGGCTTTAGGATATTGCGTTTGAATGAGAGACACCCGATTCGCTACGAAAACCTTCCACGTAGTCGGAGGCTTATTAATCCAAGCCAATGTGACCGTGGAATCCGTCCAGGCGTAGACGGGAACTTGCTCCACATTCAGCGCTGTAGTTGTCCAAACAATGAGTCGCGATAAGAGCTCGGCGGCGCAGAGTTCCAAACGTGGAACCAAGACCGTTTTCAAAGGAGCAACCTTGCTCTTACTTGTTAACAAAAATACATAAACTTTGTGAGTATAGATTATTCTGAGATAAATCACGGCAGCGTAAGCGGCCTGGGACGCATCCGCGAAACCGTGAATCTCGATACTTGAGTCCCTTCGGGTATTCACCCAGCGCGGAATACTAATAGTAGCAAGCGTAGTGAGTCCGTTGCAAAAAGATTGACATCGATCATTCAAGTCCGAAGGAAGGGTCGTGTCCCACCCGATCCCAGACAGCCATAGCTGTTGAATGAGGATCTTACCGGTGATGATGACAGGCGACAGCCAACCTAATGGATCATAAATTCTCGATATATGCGAGAGAAAGGTGCGTTTAGTTAAATGAGTCGGAATCTCTGAAGCAATACGAAAGCTAAAGGCATCCTCAAGTGGTGCCCAATAAATGCCAAGGATTTTCAGTTGATCATCCTCTTTAAAATCTATGTCTTGTGCAGGGTCGCGAACTGTTTCGGATAGATCGGAGATTAAATCCGGACAATTGGAACTCCATTTGTGTAGAGGGAACCCGCCCGCGTTGGTCAGTCCGATCATTTGCTCTCGAATCTCGCGACAATCTTCAATCTCCGACGCGCTAAAAAATATATCGTCAACATACGAATTGAAGACGACGTTCTCGGCAGCCAGAGGGAAGCGATGCTTCTCGTCCTCTGCTAACTGTCGCAAGACGCGCAGTGCCAGAAAAGGCGCAGAAGCGGTGCCATAAGTCACCGTCCGTAACCGATAAGGAGTAACCACATCTTTCTCCGATTTCCTCCAGAGAATTAATTGAAAACGCGTATGATCATAGTGCACGCGAATTTGTCGAAACATTTTCGCAATGTCGGCGGCACACACATACCGGGGCCAGCGCCAACGTAATAATATGGCACAAAGATCAGCTTGCAACTTTGGTCCAATAAGGAGACAATCATTGAGAGACCGCCCATTGCCAGTGCGCGCAGACGCGTTGAATACGACTCTCACCTTCGTCGAAGTGCTACTCGGTTTTAATACAGGATGATGCGGGATAAAGCATCTCTGTTCCTCGAGGTCCGCGGGTGTATATGGGCTCATATGCCCCAATCTTAAATAGTCGGATAAGAAATTATTGTACTCAACAGATAACTGTCGATCCTTCCTTAAGCGACGCTCCAAAGTTTCATACATGCGGAGCGAATTTTTGTGAGAATCCCCAATATTAATTGGGATATCCTCCTTAAAGGGTAACGCAACATTATATCTTCCGGACGCATCACGATTAGTGGTCGCGACGAAGAGTTCCTCGCAATATTTATCCTCAGCGGATAACTGTTTCGATGTAGGAATCTCCTCAACTTCCCAAAAGCGTTCGATTGCTCGAGTCAGATCGGTATTAGGCGTAACGTGTAACGAAGAAATAGTCGTATGTGACGACAAGATATTAATCGGACCGTCGTCCACCGGGCCGCGCAGCACCCACCCGAATCGTGAATGAATAGCGTACGGTTCTCCGGGAAACTTCACCCGATCTTGAAGTATTATCTCGTCATAACAATCCGCACCGAGAATCAAATCGATCGGTTTGTCACTGCAGGGGTCGGGGTCAGCCAATGTCAGTTGGCCGACGCCGGTCCACTCAGTGGCCTTAACAACTCGTCGCGGAACATAATTAGAGAGCCGTGACAAAATAAGAGGCTCGATCACGACGACCACTTCAGAATTCGTTCGCGACCGTAACTCAACGCGTGTGGAGTGCTTCACAATCCCGGAAACGGTGGCGCCGGTACCCGAAATTGAAACAGAACATGCATGTCGTTGAACGCGTAATGCTTGAGCAGCTGCTTCGGATAGCAACGAACACTCGGAGCCCGAGTCTATAACTGCGCGGAATGGCAGTTCCCGACCTTCAGTCGTGCGCACGAACACCCACGCGGTCGCAATCAACACCGGCCCTAAAGTTTTTGACTTGGCGACTCCCGAATGACACGAAGTTAAATTAGATGAATTCGCGGAATCGACATTCGAAACGGAAGTAAGTGCGTTACTGTGTCGTAACTCGGGATCTGATGGGCGCGGCGAGAATGCTTCATGAAGCATTTTATGATGCCGCTTCTTACACTTATCGCAACCCGATTTGCCTTTACAGCTCGGCGGAAAATGTCCTTTAGTGAGACAATTAAAACACAAATGTACCGCTCTGGCGGAAACTAAACGTTCGCTTGCAGACATTGCCTTGAATTTCGCGCACTTCGATATGTGATGAGTAGCTGAATACAAATGACAAACTGAAGTATCAGTATTCGCAACGTGCGATGTAACCTTAGAGTCAACACCGTTCTTACTCCTAATATTTTTCGTTCTGGCATTGTCGTTAAGGCATGTGACTCCGCTTTTAATCGAGGCCACATTCAAAGCGTGTATTTTACCGTTCAGAAATTGCTCAAGTTCCTCGTATTTCGGAAACATTTCCCGTTTACCAATGCTCTCTTCCCAACTCTTTCGCATCGTCGGTTCTAGACGCATAAGCGTCATAACAACTAATATTGAATCCCACGACAATTGATTTAAGTTTTCGAGGGAAACAAGTATCTCGCGAGTTTGATTAACTAGAGCTTCTAATGCGGCAGGATTATCGCCGTTTACTGGCTTAAATTTCAATAAACGTACGATAAGAGAAAATGTCAAAACTTGCACATCTTGATAGTGATCATTTATTAATTTCCAAGCCGATTCGAAATTCGCATCGGTAATGGGTAAATTCTTAATTAACGACAATGCCGTACCGGTCAGACTACTCTTTAAATAATAAAACTTCTGTACATTAGACAATCCAGACTCACGAATGACCATCGAGTCAAACATATCTCGGAAATGAGCTCATTCCTTCTGATCTCCGTTGAATGTCGGCAGTGGAATGCGCACGAGATTGGTGAACCTCAAAGTCAAAGATGCGGTGGCAGCGTCACTCCCCGAGGAAGATGTCGAAGGTTGATGGCTCTGCAAAGCGGTGAGCGTGTCCGTCGCGTCAAGAACTCGGTCTTCCACGTCACCGTACTCCGAGCTTTGAAGATACGCAAGGACGTCAGTCTCCGTCGAATATTCTAGCAGCTCCTTATGAGTACATCGGCACTCATCCCACAGATGCATCAATGTTTGGAGCTTCGTTGAGACCGTCATGGAGGCTGACGTGGCCGTGAGCTTCGCGGCCGAATTGCAAGTACGGATCACGGAGCGTATTTGATCACGCTGTGTGACGAGTAACGCTGTGACACTGCCTTGAGAGCGTGTACGGGTCCTCCCTTGAGTCGCCGTCGGCACTTTGAGGGTATCTCCAGGCATTATGTATCGACCAACTGTCAATGCACGGCAGGAGAAAGAAATAATTCTTCAAAGAATTATTTAACCGTGTGATAAACTATCACAATAGAATGACGGGCGAGTCACGTAAGCGATGGACTTGAACCGTCGCAATAAATGGAGTCAAACTATCACTCCGATCGTGTCACTGTATTTCACTGTTCAGGTGTCTGTTCGCCACAATCACGATCAATCACTTCTGGGCGCGATTTCAAAGACACGTAGAGAAGGACCACGTGGCAGTCTATCGCGTTTTATGGCACGAATGCGCATGAATAAGGGTGATAATCCGATTTGCAGCACGTGCACTCTATAGAATATGCACTTTAAATTTCAACGACGCACGTATTATATCCGGCTCGAAGGACCATGTTCGCGTCACTCGTAAATATAAAGGAGAGCGCGGTAAATACCGGAGCACGCGGTCGGAAAAATGGTGGATTGCACGGCGACAATAGACGAGGCTGAGAAATGAATAACTCGCTCCTCGTGACAGTCCAGATGTTTATTCCGCACAGTCAAGTACATTCGTATACTCTCGACACGAGTAAACACACATTAGACGGAACAGTGAATTACAACGGACACGAAACTGATATCGACACGATACGTGAAAAATACGTCGACTCAGCACGGCGTGCGGAAGAGAAGAGCGCTCTCATTCGGAAGTGTCGCTACGACCTTCCGGATCCATGATGATTTAAAACGGAAATCAAGTGTGATCGCGATTAATAATCGCTCCGAGCCACGCCTCGATCATCAGAGATGGCGCGCGCATATCGATTCGCACGCTCTATATCATATTCGCACGAACATATCATATTCGCACGAACACTAGTGTCACTTGTTGACGTTAAAGTCCTGATGGTCATGTCCGTTGTAATTATTTTTACAATTATTTACTAATGTAATTCTACCTGTGCGTTCGATTTTGATTCGCATATCCCTTTTATTTTTGCACTGTATAATTATTTCCTGTTCTTTATTAGTCGAATACAGCCACGAATTTTCTTTGCTTAGAGCTATCCAAATTGTTTGGTTAGATTTAATATATCTAACGTCGCACGCATTTTCTTTCGCTAGTCCCGCGTACAACTGTACTTCACAGAGGGCTCTCGGATTTATAAAGTATACTGGACTGTCTGGTTTACAAATATACTGATTTACGATTTTTACACACTTAAATTTTCTACCGTCATGGTTACATAGGAGGGTAATTCCAGATTAACGGCAATTACATGTTGGTTTATTTCCGTAAAGGTAAATAGTTCGCCATGGTTATGGACAGGTAGAGGAATTATCTTTATTAACTTATACTTAGGATAAGATACAAGTGGAAATCTTAATATAGTGTACACAGTGTCATTCGCATAATAGCGGTCAATTTTTCTAATAACGGCCAAATTTGAGGGGGGAGTTGCCTCCCAGTTTTCTCCGGGGATTTTTCCGGTTTGGCGTGCCGGTAGCGCATATGATAAAGTGCATGGAGAAGCAAGGAGAGGCGGAGAGGTAAGTGTTTATTGTTCCACAAATAATTTTAAACGATTCGCATGAACGACCATGCTTTTTTTCCCTGCTTTTATAGTGTAATTCACGTCGAAATTTTGTTTAATTATTGTATGCGGTTCTCTCCATAAAGATTCTAATTTTTTAGAGCGTCCACGGCGCAGTGTTTCATCGTATAGCAATACCTTGTCGCCTGCTCTAAACGTGCTTATATTAGCCTTTTTGTCGTAGCATTCTTTTGATTTTGTTTTCTCCTCTTGCATGTTCGCTTTCGCTACCTGGTGTGCTGCGCGCAATCTTTCTTTGAACTCGGATACGTAGTCATCATACGTATACGTTAATTTCGATGGACATGTCAGGACCGTAGGGAGCGTAACCTGGTGTCCGTACAACAGTTCAAATGGCGTATAACCTGTCGCTGTATGTGGTGTAGTATTGTATGTGAACATCGCGTAGGGCAGCCATTCGTCTCAATCGGTCTGATCTCCGTTTATGTAGTGTCGCAAGTACTCTGCTAGTGTCCTGTGCGATCTTTCGAGCGCGCCGTTACTTTCCGGGTGGTACGCGCTTGTACGAATCTTCTCAATTTTTAACAGTTTGCAAGTGCTCTTAAACACTTCGCTCATAAAATTCGTTCCCTGGTCGGTGAGAATTTTATCAGGCACTCCGTATTCCAAAATTATTTTTGTAACGAATGCCTTCGCTACTGTACCAGCTTTCTGATTTTCGATGGGCATTGCCTTGCTCAGTTTCGTAAAATGATCTTGGAATGTTAGTACGTATTTGTTTCCGATTAGAGTTACGGTTAACGGTCCTACTATATCTAGTGCGCATTTTTCGAATGGCCTGTCCGGAGTATCGGTAATAATCATTGGCGCTTTACTTCGCCGTTTTAATTTATTCTTTTGGCAATGCTCGCATTTGGCAATGTATCGTTTTACGTCTTTTGTTAACCCTCTCCAATTGTGAGTTAAACGGATTCGATTTATGGTGCGTTGCACGCCTTGATGCCCGCCTATCGGTGCATCATGATACTCATATAATATTTGTTGTTTCTCTTCCTCTGTGTACCTTTTTATCTCTTTTTCGCTATCTCTTTCTTCTTCCTCTTCGTCACTCTTTTTCTCCTTATCGATTATATATATCGTGAGCGACGTTGCGACTTAGTGCGTCAGCATTTGTATTGTATTTTCCGGCTTTGTGTACGATTTCATAGTCGTACTCTTTCAATTTCAGTCTCCATCTAATTAGACGAGATCCTGGATCGGTCACGTTAAGCAACCAAATTAGCGGTTTATGGTCGGTGACAATTTTAAATTGGGTCCCGTATAGGTACGGTCGAAAATGTTTGACCGCCCACACAATCGCGAGTAATTCTTCTTCCGTCGTGTTATAATTTTGATCTGCACGAGAAAGAATTCTGCTAGCATAAGCTATTGGTCGGTCTTGTTCTATCACTCCTTGTGACAAGATACCTCCTATCGCGAAATCCGATGCGTCGGTAGTCAGTATAAATTCATCGTTGAAATTTGGATACTGCCAGACGGGAGCGGTAATTAGTTTCTTTTTTAGATTGTCAAAAGCTCTTTGCTGCTCTTATGTTCACTCGAATTTTACTCCCTTTTTAATCAATTTCGTGAGTGGTTTGACTATTTTCAAAAAATTTTCGATAAACCGTCTATAATAGCCCGCCAGTCCTATGAATGATTGCACATCCTTGACTCGTTTTGGCGTAGGGAAATTCTTTACTGCCTGGATTTTTCTAGGGTCAGACATAATTCCGTGTTCGGTAATTATGTGTCCTAAATATGCCACTTCTTTTCTAAGAAATTCACACTTGTCCGGCTGTAATTTCAGATTATTGTCGCGTATTTTTTGTAATACTTCTAATAGTCGCCGGTTGTGGTCTTCTAAACTAGCGCCGTATATCACGATGTCGTCTAAATAGACCAGACACCGTATTCCTTGTATGCCCGCCAGAATAGTATTCATTAATCTTTGAAACGTTGCCGGGGCATTCTTTAGCCCGAACGGCATCCGATTAAATTCATAATGCCCGTAGGGCGTTGAAAAAGCCGTTTTTTGCTTATCTCTGTCTGCCATGGGTATTTGATGATAGCCCGATGCCAGATCTAACGTTGTAAAATATTTTGAATTCCCTAGTTGGTCCAAAATATCTGTTATATTTGGCAGTGGAAAAGAGTCTCCGACTGTTAGGTCGTTTAATTTTCGGAAATCGACCACGACTCGCATTTTAGGTTTTCCCGAAGCGTCTGTTTTCTTCGGTACCACCAAAAGTGGTGCGTTCCATTGACTCGAGCTTGGACGTACGATATCGTTTCTTAACATTTCCTGTACCTGTCTATTTACTTCGGCCTTATGCTTCTCCGGTAATCTATACGGTCGCGTATTCGCGGGTGCCGTACCGGCTCGAGTTACGATCTCGTGTTGCAGTGCCTCGGTGCAGGTCAGGGGTTCTCCGTCCAAATGGAATATGTCACTGTATTCTTCGCAGATTGCCAATATTGCTTTTTCTTCTTCGCAATTCATATGCTCGGTCCTTATTGACTTCTTTATTTTTCCAATACGCGATAAAGGTACTGTATCCTCCTCCTCGTATTTTCCGGTGGTTAAGATTTGTGCTTCCACCTTATTTTCTACGGGCTCAA